CTCTGTCTTACTCTTCCACTAGATAGGTAGCTTGGGAAGATGGGAGGAAACTCCTCATTTTTCAGCAAGAATTAGTTATGAAGACTGGGGGGGGTTTTAAATGAAGTATAATAAGCTAAAAGTGTGTGCATCTCACACGCTGCATATGGTACACTTTTAATATATACACTGTCATTGTACACAAGCATCTTGTATATACACTGATACCACCTTCATCAGGAAGTCAAAAGTCAATAGATAATGAACCTTGTGCCGTATCCTCCCTTCCTCTCACATAAATTTCACATGGAATCTCCTCCATCACCCTGTCTTCTATACCCTGCTCAGGGCACTCATGAGCTTGTTTGAACGTGTAAGTACTTTTCTTGAAGGTGCTGTTAAACGTTTTCATCGGCTGGGGCTGCGCAAAGTCATTGCGGAAGGGCAGTTCCATGGAGCTGAGGTTGGTCCTGCTCTGTTTTAGGTTCGAGGCCTGGGAGCCACAGTGGTGGTCGTGGATGCATCTGGAAGCTGTTGAAGGGCGTCGCATTTTCTGATAGTTCTCGAGTTCTTCTGATAAATCTGCCAAATCTGCAGAAATTTCTTTGTCCCTTAGTGAAAAGAGTTCATAGTGTGGAGGATCAAATACTTCCTGGAAACCGGTTTTATTGAAGGCAGTCTTGCAAGCCATGACCTTTTTGCGAGGTTGCTTTACTTGCACTAGAATTGAAATGATGAGAAGAACTAAAACTATCCCTGATGTGATGCCAATGATTGTCCCATGAGTTTTAGTGATTTGTTCAAACAACCCAGTTCTTTTCTTTTCTGCAAAGAAAAAACAAGGATCACGATAAGACTTACTATTTTCCACACTTCTGATAATGTATTTCAACAAAGCAAATTATGGTGATTGCCATGCAAGTGTCATATTAATAAAATGATTTAATGGCACTGGAGACTAGACCAGTATGTCAATGGGATTTGTCTAATTCCCTGTCATTAGTGGCTACCATGTGATAATTCAGTGGCAGGTGGAACTCTGTGACCAGTGCATGCTGACTCAGCTGGGGGGTGATTTCCCTCCTGAACCTTAACTGATCAGTTCGTATTCAAAAATCTGTGAATTAAATAGGCTTAAGTTAACCTTAAATAGGTTAAATCCAGCTACAGATGATGCTTCTCTTGCCATGGTTTGTTCCTGTAGGCAACATTCCCATTGATGTCCGTGGAAGAAAACTTGGATTTAAAATCAGCTAGTTCTTCTTTAAAAGTGAAATATTATCACATTGATATCAGATATATGAATGACTGTGCTGTTTGCTTTCACATCTCTTGGATATGTAATGGCTGTGTCTATTTGTGTGAGGCTGTTATACCTAATTCAACACAGGGAGCTTTAGCATAGATATATTCGTTTTAGGAGTCCAGTAATCAAGTCAGTTGAGGGAAAAAAAAAAAGGAGAGGGGAATCAACCAACCCAAATCATATGGGAATTTTGGCTAGTACTTCATATGAAAACACACAAGATGGCAGCATCAGAACAAGGCAGTTTTCCATATTTAAAATTCTTATTTGAAGACTCAAATTTTCCAGTTGGATTCTTTTTTTTGTAAATGTTCTTGTCCTAGGGGACTGAAAGATTTCTACGCTGAGGCTCTGCAACATCTGCTAGTGGGGGAGAAAAGCACTTAGGACTATGTAGAAGAAAATGCAGTAGCCTAAATATTGCATAATATTTTCAGATATCTGGCTCCTGGCATCTGAAAATGTGTGTACCACACACAGTGCATGGAGAGAGTTTGACACCATCATGTGTTATTTGAAACTATCCATGTACTAAACAGACTTCCAAGGAATTGTAATAAGAAGTTACATTTCTGCTTCAGAGCTTGGACTGTTGGAGGTATGGATTCCTGTGCTGTGGAAGTTCTCTTATCTGCATCTAGGTTTCTCAATTCTTGGAAGATATTTTAATCAAAAAGTTGTTACGCAAAAGGTGATGTCTTCTCTGGTCTCTTAAAATAAATTGCACACAACTGACTTTTCTAACAATTTTTGTGTTACAGGGCTTAGGCATAAGTAGGTCACAATATGCTCAGATTTATGTAGCTATTGATATGGATGAAATGAGAACTCCAGGTGCCTGCAGGAACTGAGCACAATTGTCAGCAGCTTTCTTTTTAAGGCTAAATATTGCTTATTTGGTTGCATCAGTCTTCCATAGCTGGCAATATGGATCTAGTCTTCAGCTGCCTCTAAATTATCTGCTGTGCAAGTATTTCAGCAGAATTTAGCTTGCATTCAATATAAAACACGATAGGTTGTTCAGTACCAGATATAGCAATTTACAAATATTGGGAAAGACACTTTCTTCACATTACAATATGTTTTTCATGGAATTAATTTTTTTTAATGCTGCAGTACGTGAGTGAAGTGTGGATTCTAGGTGAGATTCTAGAAAGAATTTGGTAAGGATGGGAAAGAGATCTAGGAATTGCACTTAATATTCAACATTCCCTCTTATCAAAGCTAAGGGTTGTTTGGAGGAAGCTTACTTGTACATTGAGAACTTGGAAGCTGTGGATCAGTTTTGTTAGCTGGAAAGCTTCCACAATATACCCAACATTAGAGTATTTATTAGCGGTGTGAATTCTTTTTGTTTACCCAAAAGGCAATTAAAAAGTAGGGGTGCTTTAACAGAATAACAATTTCCTCAAATCATGAGAATTTTTCCTACAAAACCTGATACTGAAGCACGTCTTTACTGCAGTTGTGATGGTTTAAATAATACTTCTTGCCCCTGTGTTCTAGAGGTAGAGATTTACGTCTGTTTTCCATAAGTGATTACTTCATGCTTCCTAACAATTCCTCCTTCCTCCCATCCTTTCTCACACTGTATGAAACAGTTGAATTTACTCTGAAATAGCCTGAGATTTATAACTCAAAACAAATGTTTTAAAATTGTATTTGTCTTCCAGGATTGTTGCTTCTATTTCAGCCCTGAGAAAGGTTTCTTATGCTTGAAAGCTTGTTTGTGTTTTTCCAGCTCTCTGTTTTTTTTTTTCTCTAAAAGGCACTACCTGTCCCTACAATCCTTTAGATAAAGTTTAAAAATGGACAGGATGCAGCCTGGAAAATACAAAATTCTCTTTCTTATCAAGCTGATATCCTTTTAAAATAGAGAGTATATGCTGGAGAGGAAGAAATGTAGTTATGGAGCAGTAAGATCAATATTCAGGATGCTTACATGTCTCCTGAGTTTAAATATAAAATTTGGAACACTTTCCTGAGATTAGCAGAATAGTGTCTTCAGCATATTTCCAGAAAAAAGACATTTCATGACTTTCTTGAAAGGCAAACTGACCAGCCTAGCTCATAAAGGCTCTATGTTGCACTATACCCACCTCTGCAGTGATTCTCGTCCCAAGGGTATGCACAGTTCTGGATGCCATTGCAGACTAAAGAATTATTGATGCACATGTTGCTATGGCAGAAGTAAGTGCTGCCTGAGCAGGGAGCTGCAGGAAAGAGGAGAAAGAAAACATTCAGAATTTTCAGTAATTGATGCATAGCAATAAAACTAGTAAGTTTGTGTTTGTTTTTTTAACATGCTAGCACATTCTTTATCTTTGTTTCAAACACAATTGCTTTTCTTACACATCACTAATTGTCAGATGATTTTCTCTCTCTCCATGTGGTTGCTTTCAGGTGTGTTGTCTATGCTACAAAAAAAAAATTCTTGTTCCAAGTGAGTAGGTACCAGATAGAGACAGTCACAAAATACAGATAATGGAAGAAGGCTTTGATTCGTGCCTTTAAAAACTTAATACTTAAAAATCTCATGCTTGCCATCAATTATATATTTATTCTTCTGTGCATCTGCTGTGTGGATGTTGTGAGGCAGCCCCTGAACATCTGCATTTTAGAGCCCATTAATATCTTAAGGCAAATCAGATTTCAGCTTGTGGAGGACTGTTTCAGTAATTGCAAGAGATTTCAATAACTGGAGGCATCTAAGTCATTCCTGTTTCTGAATCAAAAGCTCTTGGATCCTCCTATTAGAGCTAATGCAGGGATTGAGAGAGTACAGTTTAGCTTTTTATCTATCTATATATAGTTAGAAATTTGAAGAAAGAAATTAACTAGAAAGCTGCCCTGGAGATTTTATGTTTTTATGAATATTTGTTATAGCTCCTCGACTTTAGGAAAAAAGATATTAAAAAATAGTAATAATTCTTTTCAGGATGCTGTATAATATACATAGAGAATTATTTATGAATTCAGGACACTGGACAAGAAATTGGTTTTCCCTTCCTCTGTTTCAGTAATGTGGTATTTTCATCATTTAAATGTTTATTATTAGTGGATTCAGTTATATATTAAACAGCAAATGGGAAGATGCAGTCAACATTTCTAGCCATTATACCTATATCATGGGAGAAAGGCTAATAATTAAAATGGAAGTGTTCATGATGCAGACTATAAAATAAAAGGCTCTTGGCCTTATTACCACATGTGGGGAGAAAAGACTTAGGTATTTTTTCCTTCTGATTTTGGAAAGAAAAATCTTGCAAGCTTTGCTTTATAAGGGATAACCAGGATCAGAATTTAAACACAGTAATTTAAAATGGGTGTGTATGTAATAGGCTAAAATATTTCTGACTGTGAGACAAAGGAGGATCTATGAAATTCATGTCCAAAGTGGTGGTTGTGTATGTATGTATATATAGGTGGATCTACGTGTATCTGCTGGTGTTTCAATATGGACTTGTATAGAGTTGTAGTTCTTTTGGAGGCCCAGAGGAATAAACAGGAATGTAAGACACATTCCCTTTCTTATTTCCCTGAACAGGTGGTTCTGTATTTTCGGTTGATCCTTTCTGCTGCTGCTTCTCCATCCACGAGCACAGTCTCTATTGTACATTTTTGTGTAGTCTCTCACTTTTTGTGGGGATGGGAAAGTCCACAGTTTGTAAAGATGAGACAAATGGACCTAATTTTCCTTTTGTTTTTATTTGAGGAGTATGAAGACTAAAAGTCACAATGATTGATCAGTTCCAGTCCAGGACTTCAAGGACTTCTCATACCAGCTGCCTATGACTGGTGCAATGATCCCAGTGTCCTTTGTAACCAGCATTATTCATGTATTGAATCAAGCCAGAAATCAAATACATTGATTTTTAACATTGCTCTTAGTTGAATTAATTAGTCAAATCTGCAAGTAGCACTAGGTATGTGTCAGGTGACTGTCATGCACAATTAGTTCATTTATGTAAATCTTTTCAAAAATATTGATCGTTTTCATGGTTGGCTTCATATAATTACAAATCATTAGCAAGGTAGAAGAGAAAGATAGCTTAACAATCTGAAAATGTGTGAATTCACCTTTTCCAGTTTGAAAAATTGTTTATGACTAGATTATTTAAAAGTACATGATACATTTTTCAGCCACATACTTTTCAATTACCTGCCAAGAAAGGCAGTATCCAAGTAAAAAAGAATAACCACATACCTTTACAGATTTTCTTCCGCTAAAGACTTTGGGTTGCTTTAAAATTGTAAGTTTGGAAAGTTATCTAGCTTTAGGAGTACTTAGTGTTTCAACCTCTTGCATCAAAAGAAAACAAAAAAACAAACGCGCCCACCCCCCCCCCCAAAAAAAATCCCAAACTCAACAACAAAAAAACCTCTTAGAGCCACATGCAGCTGAGGAAAAAGGGAGAGGCTCAGGTGGAGTGGGGTAGTTCCAGATCTGAAACTGAAAGTAGAGCTGCAGATAGGAAGGAGATCAAGCACGTTTTCTAGCCTTCTGACCACCCAGTGTGGGCTTGAGAAGTGCCTGTTGTGGTGTCTGGCAGGGAACTGGAAGGTGGGGGCTAGTGGGAGAGCCCACTCTGGTCCCTGTGTTGTCTTTTTGAAGTAAGTCTGTTTGTGGGAAGGACATAGCCTAGGGCAGTATTATTGCTGAATTCAAATGGAAAATAAGCCTTTCAAGAATGAAGGAAAGCTTTTCTTCAGGAACCACCTTACAGCTGTAATAAAGCAATTATCTAATTTATCAGCTAGTATGTGAAAGAAACAGAAACAACCTTTTTCATGTATTCCTGCTGAGTAATACACAGCTGATGCTTTCCCTAAATCACTTGAAGTGTCCTGATAGCAGAACAGGCACTTTAAAATCTACTTACGGTCCACAAATGAAGTGAACAGCATCCTGAACCTGCTCAGTCTGCTGCCTTCGTCTGCCCACATCCTCACCACCCCTGTCCCCGTCTGCAGCATCACATCGTTGGCCACGGTGCTGCAGAACTTGGCCTTCAGGTTTTCAATGGAGCTGCTCCCGTCATACACAGCCACAAAGTTTCTCTTGCATTCATTTGAATGCTCCATCTGATAGTCGAGGAACCGCATGTAGATCTGTTAGAGAAGAGAAATTAATGTCTCCGGGGAAAGTAACACAGAGAAGACAGTTTTCTTTCTTAGCAAATATTGAATAAGATGCATTGTTCCCTTACAAATATGGGTAACTCCCAATTCACAACACTTTTAAACTTACATTTTCTCATTAAATGTCCACGTGGAGTATTACCTGAAATTTTGTCTTGGGTGTCTGTTTCACTTCTTCCCACTCCCCAAAACAGTCCTTATTTAACAATTTACTTTGATATATTTCTGGTCCCTTTGGAAAAAAAAGTACAAAGCAGCACACTTGCTGAAGAAACCCCCAAGCAGCTCTGCTAAATGGGAAGTCTATTACTCTAGAAGAGATACAAGGAATGCATAAATGTGCTGAAATAATTTTAATGGTATTTTGACTGTTCTCTTTTTAATTCATAAAAATAATGTTAAAATATAAGGGAAGGAGTCTAGTCAGAAAAGCTCTGAAGTAAAATAAGGAAATTAAAATTTATTGCTTCAGAATGAAAGCTAATTACTGAACCATAGCAGTGTTATGGAAGACACAAACCATGAAGTCAGGAGTAATTTGAATAAAAATGGAATTGAGAGAAAAAAATAAGCTGGCTATGTAGGAAGAGGTAATAAATTTAAGCTAATCTTAATTCTTCAAAAAGCAGAAATCTAATCCAAGAAAAGGCAGCATATGTGTTTGAACATGTGCAGCAAGGAAATTAGAAGATTGAGATGGTACTTAAAGAGTAAGGAAACAATTTATTTTGCTGGAGCAGGAATCTCGTGCAAGATAGTAATTTAGTTAGAATGACATGAACACATCGTAAGGGCTTTTTAATCTCTTAAATGGTTGTATTGGAATTCTCAGAATTCTACTGAAAGTTTATGAGATATGAAACTATGTCATCTATGCATGCTGCAAAGGCCATTTTCAACTTTAAAAATTTGTCAGATAGCCCTTGTTTTGAGAGAAGAAGTCTGTCCAGGTGGAGGCTGAGGTCTCCTGCTCTGTGAGAGAAGAGCTGCTCCTCCTGTATCCATGAGCTCTTCCCTGTGTGCTCAGCTCAGCCTGGCTCCAGCCTGTGTGTGTTCTGAGGACTGTCTCTGATCACCTCTCTGGCCCGTGCTATGGATGCTAAAGGAGTTTTTTTGCACAGTGTGGGTTTTTATGCATCTCTGCCCAATAAGAAGAATCTCCAAGTCCTGTTTAGGTTGTGAATGAGGAAGTCAGAGTGGATGAATCCCACACCTGCATCTGCTCTATTTACCTGGTTTTCTGCCCTTTTGCCGTATCTTGCTTTTAATCCCAGCGAGTGCCAAAGCCTTTCAAAACTGAATTATAAAGAATTCACTAAAATAAAATTAACCACCTCAGTGTGTGGGGAAAAAAGACACACACCACATCCCCCCATACACCTAACAGGCTTTCCTGAAAACATGATAAAAGAGCACGGGGAAAGACAGGTGACATTTGTACCCCCTGGCTTTTCCTTCCCAGTGCTTCCAGAGGCAGGTTGCCAGCACTGCCTTCCCTTGCACCTTCTGTCCAAAGGTGCAGCCTGTGCCATATCATCTCATGCTTCACCTCACTGTTTTGTGATTTTCAGTATATCCTTTTTTTTCTGTTTTCTTTCCCCCCCCCCTGCTGTTTCTGTTAGATTTACTGCTGGAAATTCTCAGCTACACTGAGAGCCTGTCTTCCATTGATGTCTTATCTCACAAACGTGGGTGTGAGCTGTAAGTGCTAGTATTTGGACTGAGAGATGGTATTTTCTCTTAATGATTGACTTTATATATCTGCTACAAAATTACAATGAAAACTAAAAATAATTTAGCACATGTGTAGTAGAGCTATTATTTGTATGAAAAAAGGAATAATTCCATTAAAAGCCCTCACCTCTTCCCAAGATCATCTGGGTTAGCATTAGGCAAATATAAAAGGTCCTTACTCTTAGATTATATTGATTATCCTTGTAATTTTCTGAAATCTAGAGGCAATTTATTACATATATGACAGATGCTTCTCTGTTATGCAGATTTTAAAGGTACTTTAATTGCTGTAGTTGTGTCAGTTTTAAAAGTTTATTTCTATTACAAAATCAGATTGAGGAAATTAAAAATGTCTATGGTTATTTTTCTCAAGAGAGAACCATATCAGATCTAATGGATTTTATCACCATAATTATACCAGAATTGACTTGAGAAACCACTGTCAGAATACTAAGAATTATTTTTCTGTAATGTTTTAAATCAATAATTTAGGATGATGATCTAATCTCAGGACTCACCGAACTATAACTCTGCCTTCTTGCAGCATTCAATAATTTATTAAAATGCTTAAGCATAAGACCTGGTGCACTCAAGTGGCAATGTAGAGAGAAAATGGTTTTATTATTGTTTCTGGTAGAACTGCTATTACTTAGACTAGGATAGGGCTCTTGGGAGTTGAGTCATTTCCTCAAAGGCTCAAATATATTAATGGACTTTCTTTATTGTCTTGTCCTCTTGTTATCATCTTTTAGGTTGCTGTTTTAGAATGCACTTGGAATTTGGTTAATAGGGCTGGTTAGTTAACTATAAGGAGTGTGTAAGAAGGCAGAGAGGTTTGTCATCTTGGCAGCTACTGCTTAGAAATATTTTTTAACTTTTATGTACATGCAAGCAGAAGTAAAATTAAAGATATATATGCTATAAAAAATAAAAATATGTACTCTTCTGTGCAACTCATAATTAACAAATACATGATTCTGAAACATGTAGCTGTTGGGTTTTTTAAACAGGCTGTAGTTACTGTATTTTGGAATTGTGAATAGGATTTTATCCTTCTCTCTGCCTAACAACAAATCTCGAGTTTTTTAATGAGCATAAGACAGTGATGTTTTTGTAAGCAGTCTCTAGTTCTGCAGCACAATCATAAATACCTGAGTAACTAATGCTGATTTCTGGCTCCAGGAGCTGATAATGCCCCTTTAGGGCTTGGGCAGAAAGGGTCCAGCAAATTTTATTGAGGCACTTTAAGAGATTGTGATCCTCTAGCTAAGTCAGAAGAGCGATAATTTCTCAGCTGTTTCCAGGTGAAAGCTGAGCCTTTCCTTTTAGCTCAGACTGCTGATGAAAGTGGGTTTTAAGGTGCTGGATTGTGAATGAGATGGGAGAAGCAGGCACGTGTTATGTTGACTTTGAACAGAACCAAATTCTCCAACAGAACCACTGGAGGTAAAATGCTAAACCATGGCAGTGAGATTTACTGGAAATTATCAAAGGTGTTAGCCAGCATTTTTGTCTGCAGTCTTCCAATAAAACCAGAGTTCAAGTCAAATGCCCTTGAAAATTGTTGCTTAAACAGTTTTCACAGTTATTTGGTATTTGAAGTTTCAAATAATAGGAAGACAGCTCTGTGGACTTGTGTAAGTTTGATTTCAGAAACAATTAGCAATCTGGATTTCCTAAACCACTGATACATAACTCATTTCAGTGAAAGTAAGACATTATGCAAATCACAGCTAGTGACCATTCCCTGTTATGAATGTCATGGAAACACATTATATACTGAATTATGTGAACAAAACCCACCTTAGCATTTGGAGTAGCCTTAATTGTCCATATACAGTCAACTGCTTGTCCTGGCTTTGTTTTTCCTTCTTGTTCTACTTGACTGGAACGTACTATTCCATCAGCTCCTGAGAGCTCAAATTGGCAGTCTAGGGAGAAGATATACCTTGCTGTCAAATGCAGTATGATATTAATTTAAAATTTCATGTATAAAGAAATTGTTACT